TTAATATAAATAATGCAATGCCTTTATCACTGCTTAAATACTATGAAATATGTTGCGTGCCTTATTCTGTTTATTCTGTGATCGTGCAGCCCTATGTAACATTGTGTCTTTACTGTCACTTTTAACAAATTTAATGCATACATGCTGAATAAAATGATTCATTTCTTTAAAAAAGTCCCCAAACTTTTGAATAGTAGTGTATATCCCAAAAATTTTATTTATTTATTTTTTTACGTTTTTTGTTTAATGTTTACAGTGTGTGTTTATTTTTTATTGACAATATAAAAAGAGGACTTGATTGGGTGTTTTGACATGAATATGGAAATTAATTCAACCATTTCTCTGTTTCACATCTTTAAAATGTGTCTCCTGGTTTTTAGATTGATCTTGTTCTGAATCTGAACCTAGTTTTGGTCTACAGTAGGCTCTGATATTGTTCTGTTTTGATTCCTTTTCTGATCGTTACATGTTTATGTTGGCTGGAAATGAGTAGATGCTACAGTACAGCTATGTTTCTTTCTGTTCCTCAGAGATGTAGTCTGTAGTCTGGTCTGTCGGCAGACTCTGAGGTCTCACTATGCTGCTTTATCTGCTGCTGACCATCTCACTAACAAACGTCCATGGCCAGATAGACCCAGGTAAAGTTACATTACATGCAGTCCGACACAAACATATGCGTTCATACAGACAGCGGCAAAAACATTCACTTTCTCACCGTGTCCTCCTTCGACCTCCTCAGCTCACTGTCGTTATCCTCTCGGTATGGAGGACGGGAGGATCAAAAACGATGACATCACTGCCTCCAGCCAGTGGTACGAAACCACAGGCCCTCAGTATGCAAGGTAACATCAGGGTTATTTAAGTATCATATGATATATACTATTATAATTTTTGTTAATATTTTGAATTAGATTTTATATTTTATGTTGCAGCTTTAATTTTAGCTAAAGTTTTACTAGTTTGTATCTTTGTATTTTTTTATTATGTCTATATATATTTTAGTAACTTTGTTTTAGTTATTTAGCTTCAAATTAAATGAAACAAAAATAAGAAATGTTGCCTTTGGCTACTAGCTTAAATAAAATAAATTGTAAAAAATTATATATGCCATTCAAAAGTTTAGGATCAGTTTTTAAATTATTTTAAACATTAAACATCTCTCTTATTCTCACCATGGATGCATTTAAAAAAAAAAAATAAAGTAAAAAAATAATATTGTGAAATATTTTTGCAATTTAAAATTATTAATTCGATTTTTTTTTCTGTTTACACTTTAATGTTAAAGTTTTAGTAGTTTAGCTTTAGTTATTTTAGTACTTTTAAGTTAAACTAAACAAAAATGAGAAATGTTGATGAGAAAAAAAATGAAAAAGAATGTTTTTTTTTTATACAAAAAAATCACAGGAAATGTAAAATAAATTTTTCTACTTTAATATGCTCTTGTAATTTTGTTAATATTTTGAATGAAATAATTTTTTATATTTTCTGTTTCTGCTTTAATTTTCTTTAAAGTTTTAGTAGTTTTGTTGTGTGTTTTTGAGGTTTTTTTACATTCCTATATAGTTTTAATGAAGGTTTATTTATTATTTTAGTTTATTTAGTTTTAGTTATTTTAGTACTTCAAGTTAAACTAAACAAAAATGAGAAATGTTGATGAGAAAAAAATGAAAAGAACCTTGTTTTTTTATACAAAAAAAAAAATCACAGGAAATTTAAAATAAATGTTTTCTATTTTGATATGCTCTTATAATTTTGTTAATATTTTGAATGAAATTATTTTTTCAGTTTTCTGTTTATGCTTTAATTTTCTTTAAAGTTTTAGTAGTTTTGTTGTGTGTTCTTGAGTTTTTTTTTACATCCCTATATAGTTTTAATGAATGTTTATTTATTATTTTAGTTGATTTAGTTTTAGTTCTTTTAGTACTTCAAGTTAAACTAAATAAAAGTGAGAAATGAGCATCTGTCTGTTGTGGCATCAGGTTAAACTGTGAGGAGGGGGACGGCGCCTGGTGTCCTGCTGGTCAGCTGCAGCCCGCAGATGTTCAGTATCTTCAGCTTGACCTTCGTCAGCTCATCTTCCTCACCGTGGTTGCTACGCAGGGTCGCTACGCACGCAACTCCGGCAACGAGTTTGCACGCAAATACCGTCTGGAGTACAGTCGCGATGGACACCGCTGGATCTCCTGGAGAAACCGCTTTGATAGCGAGGTAGGTAAATGCACAAGAGTGTATTTTACGGTGGCCGAGAAGTGCAAAACAAATCACAATTCTGAAAACAAAATAACAAATTACAAACGCAAATGCAAATGCAAGTCTAAAAAACAAAATAACAATTCAGAAAACACAACAACAAATCCGAAAACAAATTAACAAGTCAGAAAACACAACGACAAATCAGACAAACCGGAAGAGGTAGATATAGTTTGAGACAGCGCCATTGGTTTGGGATTACTCACCGCTGACTGGACGAGACATCTGTCAATCAACGTATACAGGGAAGAACCAGCCGAAGAACAGCAGAGTCGTGGTAGAAAGTTCGGAGATGGTATTAAAGTAGCTCAGTTTAAATGTATTGTATAAACTGCCCTTACTCTGGAATAAAAAATACGGGGTGTCTATTTACATTTAGTTAAAAGTGGATGTAAAACATCAGCTCCAGTGGTGCAGATGGATAAACGCGTGTCGTTGGCTTTTTGACGCGATCGACCCGGCTTCGATCCCGTCTTTTGCCGAACTTTTTTTTCCTCCCTTTTCAAATCTCGTATTAGCAATGGATTCTATTTACACTAAGTGAAAATACCTATTTACACTATGTTAAAATAGCAGGATTTCTACTATCAAGTATACTACTTGTTGCAAATAGTGGCAATTATCTGCACTTCAGTATTGTAGTACATTATAAAACAGTATGCAATAATAACGTATTGAGTGTAAATTATAATTTTAATTTTAATTATTAAATGGATGCCACCTTATTGGTACAATAAAGCCCTCCCTACACCTACCCAAACCCTACCCGATACTTTATTTTCAACTTTTTGATAATTTCCTTAATTTTTATTGAAAATAAATGCCTTTACAATGTGATACGAGATTTGAAAAGGGAGAAAAAAAAAGTTAAAGGCGGGATCGAACCCGGGTCGATAGCGTCAAAAAGCCAACGACATGCACTTATCCATTTTCAGAATTGTGATTTGTTTAGCACTTCTCGGCCACCGTAGTATTTACTAAATGTTCGATTTTTAAATAAAAGACCTGAATGAACTGAAGTTTGATGCTAATCAGCAAAATTAGCAAATTCATAAGTTATACCAGTAAGCAATTATACCATACACTACTGTACAGTTTGGAATTGGTAAGAATTTTTTTTTTCTCACCAAGACTGCATTTATTTGATTAAAAATACAGTGAAAACAGTAATATTGTGGAATATTATTACAATTTAAAATAAATACTTGAATATATTTTAAAATGTAATATATTCCTGTGATCAAAGCTGAATTTTCAGCGTCATTACTCCAGTCTTCAGTGTCACATGATCCATCAGAAATCATTCTAATATGCTGATTTGCTGCTCAAGTGTCTTATTATTATCAGTTTTGAAAAGAGTATTTTTTGGAAAAAAAAAATATTTTTGATGAATTTTGATGAGTTCAAAAGAACAGCATTTCTTTGAAATAGAAATCTTTTGTAACATAACTTTTGATCGATTTAATGCATCCTTGCAGAATACATGTTTTTTCTTAAAAAAAGTTGTTGTTTTTTGCAGGGTTTCTATTTTCTGTGATTGTGTCTCATTGTGCAGCATTTTCACTTATGTTTGTCCATACTATTTTTATTATGTGGTAACCACTGCATGCATGCTGTAACTATTTTCCTAATGTAGCATGATCTTTTGCCATAATGTTTAACTAATAACTTCTGCAGACTATAATGGGCAATATAAACACCTACGACTCTGTGGTGAGAGACCTTCACCCTCCCATCATTACTCGATTCTTACGTTTGATTCCTGTCACCGATGCCGTACACACTGTGTGTATGAGAGTAGAGCTGTTCGGATGCACCTGGCAGGGTAAGTCATAAGAATTGCATAATTAATATTATGCAATTTAAAAAAAAAATGATTACAAAAACATTGTATTGAATAATTATAATTATATATTGTATGAATAATTTGCATGAGCTTATTTCACAATATTAGATTGAAATGTTTTTGAAAAAATCTAATACATACACCCGCCCAGTGTTGGGGAAAGTTACTTTTAAAAGTAATGCATTACAATATTGCGTTACTCCCTAAAAAAGTAACTAATTACGTTACTTAGTTACTTTTTATGGAAAGTAATGCATTACATTACTTTTGCGTTACTTTCGCGTTACTTTTTAAATATGAGCAGGGCTTGATTGTTTTTAATATAAGAAGTTCTGTTTATAGCAAATGTAAAAGCCCTTTCACACCAAAAAGTGTAATGAATAAACCTAAAAGTAAAAGTAAAAAGTAAATTCACATCTGTACAGTAGAACGCAGGAGAAGAAACACACATTCACATTTAGTCTAGAACTACAGTAACATCATGTTCACACAGCGCACACAACTCCTCTGTACATCCGATTTCTCCCAATATGGGGACAGGAGACTTGCAGTCAATAAATGGGAAAACAAAGTAACTGGCGTTACTTTTTTGAAAAAGTAACTCAGATATTTTCTTGTAAATTAAAAAAGTAATGCGTTACTTTACTAGTTACTTTACTAGAAAAAAGTAATCTGATTACGTAACTCGCGTTACTTGTAATGCGTTACCCCCAACACTGCACCCGCCCATAGACCCTCCCCTCGGGGAATGTGTCTCCCTTGTCTACTTGGAATCCAATCGACCAAAACGCATCTTAATATCGGGTGTTAACAGCGCCTCAGTTTCACACTTGCATATGGGCTACAGACCGAAGCAGATCGCTTTGGCGTCTCACATCCGAGCAGCTGTGGCCTGTGTAAATTTGCCCCCTAGTGTCTGATTTGCTGTTTAGTTTCGTTTGACCTCAATTACTCCAGTGCCTTAAACGTTAGCAAAGAGAAACAAGTAATTACATTCTAGAGCTAATGCAATATTAAAGTTTGGGACCTCTCTGTTTTCTCTTTCTCCTGCTGTGCAGATGGCCTGACAGCGTACAGCTCTCCAGAGGGCCAGACCATGATGGCTCCTGGCTATCCCATTACACCTCTCAACGACTCCACGTACGACGGGGCCCTGGAACGCAGGTGAGGGTCTAATCTAATGCGGAACGATTCAAAGAATATGTTTCGCTTTTGGCAATGCACAGATATTAAAATTCTATCCGATATTGGTTTTACATAAAGCAAAAAAAAAGTGCCAAATATATTGTAAACAGTGAATCTCAATAATATATATATTATCAGTTTGTACATATATATATATACAGTGCTGTGAAAAGGTTTTTGCCCCCTTCCTGTTTTTTTTATTTTTTGCATATTTGTCACGTAATAGAATGATTTCTGAAGGATCATGTGACACTGAAGACTGGAGTAATTATGCTGAAAATTCAGCTTTGCATCACAGGAATAAATTACATTTTAAAATACTGTATATTAAAATAGAAAAATGTTATTTTGAATTGTAGTAATGTTTCACAATTTGACTGTTTTTACTGTATTTTAGATTAAATAAATGCAGCCTTGGTGAGAATAAGAGACGACTTTCAAAAATATTATTGAGTCTAAACTTTTGTGTGTACACTGAAATATCTAATATCAATCAATACTAATTAAGTAATTATAATAAAAAATATAATGTTCCAATCCTGAATTATAAAAAAAAAGTCATACTTGTTTGGAATGATATGAGTAAATGCTGACTAAATTCTTGGGTAGATAGTTTGCTGGTTGTCTTTTTCTTCGCATTGATTCTTTGTCCTCTTTTTTTCCTGACTTGCTGATGTGAGTCAACTTTGGAATTGTGGACTTTTCAGGGTCATTCTGTGGCAGAACAATCAAGATTGTATTTAAGTTCTAGAATGAATGCTAATCACTCCTCGCCCAAAGCTAAGTGCTTCCTGTCTCTCTCTGCTCCCACAGGAAGCTGTCTGGGGGTCTGGGTCAGCTGACGGATGGTGTGATTGGTCAGGATGACTTTGTACAGAGAAGACTGGACCGGCAATACTGAATAATACCAAATACTTGTTTGGAATGATATGAGTAAATGCTGACTAGATTCTTGGGTAGATAGTTTGCTGGTTGTCTTTTTCTTCGCATTGATCCTTTGTCCTCTTTTTTTCCTGACTTGCTGATGTGAGTCAACTTTGGAATTGTGGACTTTTCAGGGTCATTCTGTGGCAGAACAATCAAGATTGTATTTAAGTTCTAGAATGAATGCTAATCACTCCTCGCCCAAAGCTAAGTGCTTCCTGTCTCTCTCTGCTCCCACAGGAAGCTGTCTGGGGGTCTGGGTCAGCTGACGGATGGTGTGATTGGTCAGGATGACTTTGTACAGAGAAGACTGGACCGGTTGTGGCCCGGATATGACTATGTGGGCTGGAGGAACGACAGCTTGGGCCCTGGATATGTAGAGATGGAGTTCCAGTTTGACAGACAACGAAACTTCACCTCTATGAAGGTGAGAGTGAAGCAGGAATAGAAGTAAACACGACCAGGTTTTTAAAAACAGAATGCAAAGCTTGTACTTTTGATAAGGAGCAGTAATATTGTGAAATATTAAAACCCCAAATAACTGTTTTCTATTCGAAATTAGAATTTCTTTCTGTCATCAAAGCTGAATTTTCAGCATCATTACTCCAGTCTTCAGTGTCACATGATCTGTCAGAAATCATTCTAATATGCTGATTTGCTGCTCAAGAAACATTTATTATTATCATTATTGAAAAGGAAACCATGATATGTTTTTTTAGGATTTTTTAATGAATGGAAAGTTCAAAATAGCAGCATTTATGTGACTATATAAATATTTTATAACATTAGAAATGTCTTTACTGTCACTTTACTGTAATTTTCAATTTAATGCATCCTTGCTGAATAAAAATATTAATTTATTTTAAAAAATATATATATATACTGACCCCAAAACCTTCTAACAATAGTGTATAATATTTAAATATGTGAGCCTTCAAGTGTTATTGATGCTTATTAATTCTCTTTTTAGGTTCACAGTAATAACATGTTCTCTCGGGGTGTGAAGATCTTCGCATCCGTGTCCTGTGTCTTTAAATTGCACCTCATTTCGGAGTGGGAAGCAGAACGGGTGGAGTTTCACACCGTTCTAGACGACCGGAACCCAAGCGCTCGGTATGTGACGGTCCCGTTAAAGCACAGATCGGCTACGGCGCTGTGCTGCCGCTTCTACTTTGCTGACACTTGGATGATGTTCAGTGAGATCTCGTTTCAGTCTGGTATGAAATAAGAACAACTCACCTCTCCCTCCCTCTGGTATTCTCAGTATTACCCCATTAAAATACAGCCAGAGCTGTGATATGCTTTTCATATTATCATTCCCAATATCTTAATTTCAACTTACACTGTTGTTCAAAAGTTTGCGATCAGTAAGATTTAAAGGGGTCATATGATGCTGCTAAAAAGAACATTATTTTGTGTATTTGGTGTTATGAAATGTGTTTATGCGGTTTAAGGTTCAAAAAACACATTATTTTCCACATACTGTACATTATTGTTTCTCCTCTATGCCCCGCCTTTCTGAAACGCGTCGAATATACCCCAGCGACTTAAGACTTTTTTGTGCTCCAGGGTCACATATGTCCCTTGTAATCTTTAGGTAAAACTAGAGCCCAAATCATTACTTAGAATTATAAATGCATTTTTAAGTGGGTGTCATTTAAGGTGTAGTCATTTCCTGTGTTTTAATTCTTTTCCACTGCAGCAACTAATGTGCTTCCTACCCAGAGGCCCCCAGTATTGACCCCTCCTTCATATGATATTAACAGCAAAGTATCACAAACGACACAAAAAACAGGTAAAGAGTCACTGTGCTGAGAAAACCCAGCATTTTTACAGTCAACATGAAGTCATTTGATACTGTATGCTTTCTTAATTCGTGTTATTCCAATGAAAATGTAATGTTTGTCTAACCAAAGTCATATAGAGACTGCTTTTCCTGATTCAGTCAGTTCCCGATGAATACAAATGACGGAAATGTGTCACATTATGGAAGTAAAATGGGTTGTGAACACCACATCCTCTTGGCTTTAACTGAAAATGCCTGACTACTGTACTAACTTGTATTACACACTTTGACTGAACTTTAATAACCCATCTGTGTTTGACAGAGGACCAGACGACAGCAAAACCATTCAAACCAGGCCCTTCTGAAGAGGGCAGTACATCGATTCTGATTGGCTGTCTGGTGACTATTATTCTTCTACTAGTGGTGATCATCTTCCTGATTCTGTGGTGCCAATATGTGTGCAAAGTCCTGGAGAAGGTGTGTGTGTGTGTGTACTGTAATGTTTGTATTAATGAAACAGATTATAATGCTTCTCAATAATGCATGATATACTTGTAGCATAAAGTACCTTGGTATACCTTACTGAAAGGTTGAGCATAGTTGAATTTGAATATGTGACATCTTTGAGAAGTAGTGTCTCTAAAATTTTCCCCTTGAAAGCAAAAAAAAAAAACACCTGAATATCCACTTTATTTTGCAATGCAGAAGTAAGCTGTTTTCAGTGAATGTGTGAGATTTCCATTTCATTAGCTGCTGTAGGTAAATAACTAGAAGAATAACAAAGTGCAGTAAACTAAAACTATTCGCATTGCTCATCAGTGTTTATGATTATGGCAATACATTGATATAAGACATACCAATTTGCAGCTTTGGCCGCACTGCTCTTAAGTTAAAAAATCGGTAACACTTTATTTAAAGCATTTATGTATAATGCAGTTCAAAGGTATTCATAATGTACGTTGTAATGCATTATATCTTTTCATAAATAGCTGTAACCAAAGTTAAAATGCATTATAATATTTGACGGTTTGTTTGTCATGTGTTTTAATGCATTATACTTTCTAAAAATGTAACAATGAATAGATAGGTATTATAATGTACTATAACTGTGGTTACAAATATTCATGAGATCATCATATAGAGCTATATAAGGTGCACTACAAGGCATAATTAATGCGGTAAAACTATTTTTACAATGCATTTTATATAAAGGCTTTATGTAAAGTGTAAAACCAAAAAAATATTCTGCAACATGCTGTGTCTTAAACAACTTTGCAAAACTTAAGCAAAACATGCACAAAGCACACGCATGTGGATTCATGATGAATGAGAGATACACAGTATATGAGCCAAAGTTTATTTGTATAGCACACTTCTCACATGCCAGTAGTTTCAGTTTTGTTTTAACTAGTGTTTTTGTTTTACTTACCGGTATTTTACATTTTTTCTGAATGTGATAATAAAATGTGGTTTATACATAGATGCAAATGATCTGTGGGTTTCTTCTCTCAACAATGCAATTTTGACCCAGTGTAATTTAAATAGTCTCTCTCTCTGTCTCAGGCTCCGAGGCGTATTTTGAAGGAGGAGGTGACAGTGCGTTTGTCCTCTAGCAGTGACACTATAATTCTGCAGACTCCCCCGGTGCCCCCGCGCCTCTCCCTCGACCCACCCTACGAGAGGATCTTCCTGCTGGACCCCCAGTATCAGGATCCCGCTGCGCTCAGGAACAAACTTCCCGAGCTGTCGCAAAGCGCAGAAGCTTCTGGTATCATCTATTATACACAAACACACACTAGCTCTGTCTCAAACCCTGGTAAGCTGCCTCACTATTTTTTAAGAATCGTTACAAATTATGTAGCCAGAATAAATATTGCACAATTTAAAACTATTGCCTTAAAGGGATAGTTTACCCAAAAATGATAATTCTGTCATTTACTCACCTTCAAGTTGCTCCAAACCTGTACGAGTTTCTTTCTTCTGTTGAATGCAAAAGAAGATATTTTGAAGAATGTTGGTAACCAAACAGTTGCTGGTAACCATTGACTTCCATAGGATGGAATAAAAATACTATGGAAGTCAATGGCTACCAGCAACTGCAACATTTTTCAAATGTTCAACAAAAGAAAAAAAAACATACAGGTGGGTGAGGGTGAATAAATGATTACAGAACTTTAAGTTTTGGGGGAACTATACCTTTAAGTCATTGCATATAAGTATAAAAACAGCATATTTTTCGTTCATTTAATCAAATATATACAAACATATATATTGAGTTTTGTTTGTTTTTTTTAAAGATAAAAAAAAAAAAGCATTTTGTATGTTCACCAAGGCTGCATTTATTTGATCAAAAATATAGTAAAAACAGTAATTTTGTGAAATATTATTACAATCTAAAATAATGATTTTATATTTGAATATATTTGAATTTATACCTTATTCTGCCTTCTTAATATTTTTGTGGAAAAATTCAGGAATTTTTTGATGAATATGAAGTTCAAAAGATCAGTATTTATTTATTTGTAACATTATAAAAGTCTTTGCTGTCTCTTTTGATCAATTTAATGCCTCCTTGCAGAATAAAAGTATAAATTTCTCTTTCCGACTCCAAACTGAACTTTAGTGTAAGCACATGTACCTGAAACTGACTCATTTCCATCAGTCTGGGACTGACTATGAGTCTAAGATATATTTCTCAGTTGCCTTAAAGCTTGTTCACACCGGGACGAATATCGCTCGCGATTATCGCCGACGTTTAACGCCTCGACTAAACAAAGGGCGCCAATGTGAGTGTGCACACCGACTCGCAAAACGCGAGGCGTAAAAGCGTCATTTTTTTAAAAACCGCCAAGGGCTCGTTTTTTTGGTTTGACGCGCCGCGTTAAAAACTGGCCGACCAATGAGATTGGCGCTTTTGTTCACGTGCCTGGAGCTGCTGAAGTTACAGTAAAACACGACTTGGTGGCGCTCAAGCACAAAACGGTCTTGCCGA